CATCCTGTTCTAATTAAAACACAGTTCATACTCCTTTCTAAGATTTGAAGGCTTCACAAAAGCTGACTCCCACCTACCTCACTGACTTCATTTCCTCCTACCTCCCCTTTTGCACTCTTCTTCATGGAGTTCTTCAAAGCCCTCGAATTCATTCATGCCCCTGGCACTTTGCAGTTGCTATTCACTCTGCTAGAATGCTCTTCCTTCTGCTTTTCACTTGACTGGCTCTTTCTCACCATTCACACCTCAGGCCAAATACCACCTCCTCAGCAAAGCTTTCTGATTGCCCTAAAGTAGCTTCCCCCATCCCCTCTCTAGCACACCTCAGGCTGTATTGTCTTCGTAACACTCATTCTATCTGAAAGATGGTTTTCATTTATTTGCATCTTGTTTAATGACTCCATTTTCCACAAAAACATAAGCTCTATAAGAGCAGAGGCTTTGTTTTGTTCAACACTGCACACCCTATCCCCACCACCAGCACCGAGAACATGTCCTATTACATGGTAGATACCCAGTAAATATTGGCTGAATCTCAAGTCCCACCTTACGCATGACCATGCAGAAAGACACCCATGATCCACTGGAAAGCCACTCTCTGCTCCCCTGTCACCCACATTTCCCAGCACAGTGACTGTGACCCACAGCCATACCAACTCTGCAGCCATTTCCACAGCCTGTGGAAGGCAAGAGTGATGCTGCTTCCCTTGGAAGAATCTCTAGCTTCCTTGCCATCTCTTTATCTGGAGACCATATTCTCATCTTCTACAGATCTTTCCATCGTAGGAAGTCAGTGTTTAAAGAACCCTACAGAGATCATCATTACAGGCTACTGAACAAAATGATGCCATTTGCACACTGAGCCTGAGATATAAGGGGGAGGAGAGGACAGGGAGGAGGAGAACCGTTACACTCTGATTTCTGGTGTTTATGATAAGAAGGTCTCCTACAAGTTGGCTGCTCTCCTTCCCTTCTTTCCCAGCGGTCCAGGGAGAAGAAAGCCCCTGGCCAGATACGGAAGGTTGTAGAAGTAAACAGTAAGCCAGCCTCTCCCCTCTGATAACCAAAAGCTCTCCAAGAAAAAGAAATGTGAATGTGGAGAAGAGACTCAGATCCTACTTCTCCCTACTCTCCTCTACCCTCATAACTTCACTCCTAGGATCTCACCCATTTTTATCCCACCAGCATGGCAGCCAGGCTTCAGACCATGTCCGAGACACTGCTGACTCCCATGCCGAAGGCCTGTGCTTCTGACACCCAACATGGAACCACAGAGATAGTTTCCTACTGCAGCCCTCTGATGTCTAATGCATTCATTCTCGTCTACGCATCCAGCTTGCTCCAAATCAAACACAGTTTTATTTTTAACCCATAAGGCTTCACTTGGAAATTGTGATGTGTGCTGTCATCCACTGTCGTTGGGATAAACAGGAGAGGTTAATTTTATCTGTGAAGGTGAGGACGTAGACCTGGGAAGACTTCTAGACAAGAAGAATACGTAGGAACTTCAGTGAAACTATACGCAGAATGAAAAACTTTTTGGGACACAAGCTATTGGAGATGACATAACCTCCTGAATTTGGCAAGACACAGCATACCTAAGCAGCATGCCATAAATGTGGAGAAGACAGAAAACATCTAACTGGTGAAAGTCTGAAGCAATCAGATGGAACGGCAAAGTATGCAGACCAGCTGTTCAAGAGCCCAGCCTAACGTGTAATTGAGAAAGTGTATTCAGATTGGGGGATATAGAAGTTGCATGTTCATGACAAAGGAGAAAGACATGCACACAGGATGAAAGAATTTTTGAGTGATATATACCACGGAGGCTTCCTAGAATTGTACAGGGCAGAGGTGAAGCAGACCTTCGTGTAATCCACTCTGAGTCACTTAACCTAGAGCAGACTCTGGGTTTTTTGTGTTTGTTTTTTAACTGTAAAACAGGACTAAGCATTCCTGTCTTGTAGTTCTGTTGAGAAAACTTAATAAAGTAGCATATGTGAGCACACTGGGGGTCACAGTGGGTGCCGCACCACTTTCCTGCTGTCTTCACCTCCTGGATGAGCACAGCCTAGAACGCATGTTAAACAGAGCTCTGGTCTCCATCCTTGGATGGAATCAATTTCCAGGGAAGTCAAATGGTGATCTGTATGGTCAGCAAATGATGTTAATCAGTGAAGTATGGGAAGCAGCATTATTTCATTGCTCTCCCATGATGTCCCACACGATGTGGAACACTCCAACAGAAGAAAGCAGCTGCTACTAAGTTCTGGAAGGAGAAAACTTGAGAATTCCAATTTTCACAGAAGACAGACTGATGTTTTTAATGTTATGTCTGTTATGTCTTGATGGCATTATTCTGTCAATACTATCTGTTCCCTTCTGAGCCTCAAAGATTTTTATTGATTTGGTGTATGTCAACATAAGAAACACCAAACCTTTAAGAATTTTTTAGTTTATTTGAGCCAAACTGATGATGATTACTGGGAAGCAAAATCTCAACAGAGTAAATAATCCAAAAAATGACACCTTACTTTATACATTACAATCAAAAGAGTAGGTGGTAGGGGGTCACGAAATCCACTGGAGATAGATTAGGAACACAGGAGAAAGTAAATCAGAGGAATCTCTGGGATTGGATAAAAAGTAAAATGAATAGACATATACCACTTTTACACAAGTAGGTATAGCACAATTACCAGTCAAAAATTAACGTGATAGCAGTAACAATGGGGGGATTTGTGGTCTCTGCTCTGGCCCACCCATTGTACTTTCAAAGGTATGTTATCAGGTATGTTAAAGAGACAGGCTCAGTTACAGTGAAGACTAACTGGTAGGGAAGAACACTGCCCTAGGACATGGCGATCTGCCATAAGCTGCTTTTAGTTAGAACGTTTTAATTTCAGACCATCCTGTGTGGTTACTGTGGTCTCTGAGTTTGTAAGGCCACCATGCAGGCCCCTTTTTGTCCAAAAGTATAAGAATACACTATGTCCAAAAATCTACAGAAATGTAGTCTACAAAGTAGTCATACTTTATTGCACCATTGTAAGGAAGCATGAGACAGTCTGGGACACTGACCTTCAGCAAGTATGGTAAAAATATCCCTCAGGGAGACACCACCATGTAACCAATGAAGACTTCCTCTCTGGCTCCACTTGAAAGATCAAGGACAGCTTATGAAGCCAGAACCGGGTAATACAAAGAGTTTCTAGAAAAGTTCTCTACTTATAACCCAAAAACTGTCTCATTCAGAGACAGCAAATGAGACTAAGAGTGTCTCTCTTTTTCAGATATGAGTATGAAGAGCAGTCTTCGGTGTCCGGAAAAGACAGTATCACAAACCAATTTACACATGTCAAATCAGCAATCTTTCAAACGTAAAATAACCCAGCATCCTGACTCAAGTGTCCCAAATATTTAACATCTCCACGTAAATAAAAAGATAGCGTCGTGGCCTGCAGCCGAGAGAGGAAATGTGAAAACCAGTAAGCCAAATACCCAGGCCTGTGATATAGAGCGACCATCGGAGACCTGCAGACCAGGGCGGACATGTGGCCTTCGAGCCGCGGATGGAGAAAAGCTTCTGGCCAACCTACTTTCCTTAACTGTAACTAATCAAGTAATCATACCACTCAGGAGTGTTCCTTTTTAAGTACATGTGACTTTGAGTTTAGAACCTGTGGCTTATGTGGTTTCTGATACTCTGGCATTCACGATATTCTTCTTACCCCCACTCCTCCAGTTTTTAAAACATTGCCTTTGAATAGCAAACACCAAGCCCCCGCCCATAACCTCTCTCCCACCCCTTTCTCCTGAAGATCACGAAAGCAGCAGCTTTGGGTTCGTTTGCAGTTTCTGGAAATCACTTTTTATCATTTTTCTTTAAAGCCAGTATAACAGCACACAAGGAACGGGGCTGAAATGTCGGCCTCAAAAGGACAAGGTTTTTTTCTCCCTTATCTTGAAAACTAACTCGCCAAACACCTCAATTTGCTCACAGCCTCCCTTTCCCCCAAAGCGCCTCGGGGCTCGCTTTGTTAGGTCTAGTTCTCCAGCGGCGGGAACGAGGATTCCTCGCAAATTGTGGTGTAAGGTCTAAGAGGGGAAACTTGCCTTCAGCCGTGCTCGAGTACAGCTCTCTACGTAAGAAAACAGTAGAGAGCGAGGAGCCCGCGACTGCTCGAGCGCCCAAGCTCCCCTGCGATTAGAGAAGAGGCTCCCGGAGCAGGGTCCACCCCTCTGCCAGCGCCCCTCGGCCCGCTCGCCGGCTCCATCTGTCCCGCCCTTGCGGGGCTGGCAAGGGGTTCCGAGCGCCCCGCCGGTACCTCCCAGCGCCTAGACCCAGGCTGGTGGGGGGCGAACGCACGCCACGATCCAGGGTTGGGAGGGTGCAGTCGTAGCAGCTACAGAGGCTGCAAAACCCGGGGATCCAGGCAGAACAGACCCGGGCCGCCCCGATCCTTGACGGGAGCTCGGTCTCCCGGCACCCCTGACCTCCCTCCCTCCCTGCGCAGTGCGAACCCGCCGCGAAGCAGCCGGGGAGAGTTACCCGCCGAGGCCCAGGAGCGAAGACCGCAGAGGCTTGCCGGGTTTCGCCGCTGCTCCCTCCAAGCCGGCTGCTGCCTCTCCCGCGGGTCCTGCAGCATCAGGCCGCCGAGGCCCGCGGCCGGCCGAAACCGGAGGAAGGTGGAGGGGGTCAGGAGCGGGGCCGACACGATTCGGTCCCCCCTGACCTGACCAGAGAGCAAGGGAGGGCGCAGTGCCGCCCGCCGTCCGGGGCGCCGCCAGCCGGCACTCAACCCGCCGCGCCCAGGACAAGATCTCCCGCGACTGCTCTGAGAGCCGGCGGAGCCCTGGGGAAGCTCCTCCTGCTCGCGGCTCGCGCCGTGTGGGCGGTGGCCACGCCGCCCCTGAGTTCGCAAGGAAGGTGCAATGCGGCGAGGGAGGCTCCGGATGCCCGGAGCAGAAGCGAGGCAGGAACAGAGCCGAGCCCCTACCTTTTGGGCTTGGCGGACGCCAGCAGCGCGCCCTCGCAGGGCGCCCCGGACAGGAAACTCAGCACGGAAGAAGGCTGGGGAGAGCAGCGGAGGGCTTCAGGACAGGGTATGAGGATCAACTTTCACAGCCGAGAAGACACTCCCGTACCGCCCTGCTGTGTTTGGAAAACTGCCTGGGCAAAGGTGAGGGGCTGCCGGCGTACTCCCCTTCCCCGCCAGCTGGCGAGTGGCAGAAGTAAGCACGTTTGGCGCACCATCTGTGACACGAGCGGAGCAGGCGGTTTGGTTCCTAGCATGAAGGGAAGGGCATTGAGAGAGCTCTAGAATTCCTGGACTCTATCCATCCAGGGCAAACCTGTTCGTGCTTCTTATCTTTTTGGAGGAGTTGTTTTAAGAAGAAAGAAGGTGGGACGTGCAGTTTAACAAGTAGCTCTACCTTGAGGAAAGCATATAATAATGTCCTCACACTTGGATGGCTCTGAATACTTTTTAAATTTCAGCGTTTGTGTAATTCATTGTCTAACAACATTCAATTAATAACGCCAGCGTTTGGGAACTGTGCATCATCATCACATGCCATCAGTAACCCCAGAGAGAAGAGCCACAGACTTGGGTGCAATCCAAAGCGGACAATGTGTCTTGCGCTAAAACAAAGTCCTTCTGTGACGGACCTTACGGTATTTGTCTTAATTTCAACAACAGCCCTAGGAGGCAGCACTTGTCCTTTTCCCCAGTTTTACTAGTCAAAAACCAACAAACACACACCAGGAGAGGGCTCAGAAAATCCCTTTCCTTTTCTTGAAATTGCCTTTGGAGTAACCCACACAGATTTTGTCATTTTAAGATTTTATTTGTTTACTTTCAGAAAGAAGGGACGGGAGGGAGAAAAAGAGAGAAACATCAATGTGTGGTTGCCTCTTCTCCTAGCAACCCAGGCATGTGCCTGTTGTATCCAAGTTGCGAGCGAAAGAAATCTCCGAAGACTGAGATCAGTTTGATGTCAACTTTATTGGCCAAGTTTTAACCTGCGCAGGGGCGAACTTCCCAAATGAGACCGTAGTCTCGCGGCTACGCAGAGCCGCCAAAATGGAAGTCGCGCCTGGCTTACAGACTACTGGGGGTTTTATAGAAGCTAGCAAGCAAGCGCTATACAGAAGCAGACGTGGCAGTTAGTAATTCACTTACAAAGACCGCAGCGGGAATTTCAAACCAAGCATTCTTTCATAAGGTGGGAAGGCAGGATGTTTGTTCATTAACCTAGTAATCTCCTGGCTCTAGCTAGCTGGTTTTCTATTTTCTCATTAAAAACTACAAAGCACTGCTTATCTAGCCTAGCCAGGGGAGAGCGTCTGCTAGACACAGGATGTTTGCTTTGACTGTACTTTGTCTCTTTTATCATTTCTTTTCAGCTACAATGTGGTTCTTGTCTATTAAGGTTAAAATTTAGTTCTTAATTTCCTTGTTCCCAACATTCCCCCGTTTTCTCTTGGGGGGTGTCAAACCCTTGACTCTTCATCATCAGGAATCATAGTATAGGGTTGGGATACAACCATTAGCTTTACTACTTCTATTCTTTCTTTAATAAAGGCTATGACCCTATTTAAAATGTAGGGCCCTATAGTGATTGCTAGCAGGAGTATATCCCAAGGTCCAGTCTACTTTTTCTTCTAATTGATTTTCTGGGGGATTTTGTCCTCCAAATCTCTATTTGGGGACCCTTTGGCTGCACCCTCCTTTTAGATATACCCACTTTAAATTCTTTTTAAAGGACAATGGACGAAGGTCTCATCTTCTTGTAACTGCTTCTGGCTGAAAAATGGACGTTGTTTTACCCACCCATGGGTCAGGGGTGCCCTGAAAGGGGGGGGGTGGTGTGCAGCACAGAGGAAGTCCTTCCTGTAAGGGGAAGGACCTTACAGAATCCTGGTCAGTTGGCTGTCACCAGGGAGTCGCAGGTTCGGTGTCCAAAGGCTGGCATTACTGGACCGTTGGCATCCTGGTCATATTCTGGAGGTGACAGATTTGGAAAAAGTTGGAAGGCACAATTAAATCATAACCACTAAATGACAAAGGCAGGGACTTAAGTAAGGAATGGCTTATCTGGAGGAAGGTGTACAAGGCATGCTACACCTATCCGAAACTCTTGTGGCCCGCTATACTTCACTCGGGCTGAGGGGAATATGTTAGGATTTCCCTCCTTTCAGATACCTGGGCCCTTTCTGTCCAAGCCATCAAGACAGAAAAGGCAAAATTAGTTCTAAAGTGAAGCCCACAGACCGCCCAAACCATTCACCAACCCAACCACTCAGTTCAGCCAAACCGTTGAGTCTCAGGGGGGTGATGATGAAAATGGGCTCCTTAAAGCGAGGTTTATATTCACTCACTCATTCAACCAATTACTCAGGTAATGAAGTCATAGGCATATGCCCTATGAAAACAGAAGAACATACAGGTTAAATTCACACAACAATCCCCAAACCAGTCTCTGTGCCTGTGAGACTGTCTTTTGGGAAGACACTCAATTGCAAGGTTTTTCCTGTAATAACATTTAGCAATGGCAACTTCACAGGTCCTCCGTACCTGTAAATTGTACATCTTTGGTGACATTACAAACTCAGTTTCAACTTTCAAATGAAAACAAACTTTTAAGACAGTTAGCTGCACCATTCTGATGTCCAATAATACTAAGCATTGTGATTTTCCTTGAACCACAATTTTTTCTCCTTAAGATCACCCTCACTGTTATTAAAGGGACTACTTTGAGTCCCACTTTTAATTTTGACTGTTTGTTTGCATAAACACACCAAGAGCAGCCTGGATCACTTATGATCCTTGAGTCTACCTTGCTGGAACTTACACAGGGAACCTTCAGATTGACTTCTCAGTCCGCCCCCTGGGGCATCGAAGCAGACCCACACATTTGCCATCTGGCTTCGCCTGTACCAGTTGTTTCACTCAAATCCTTGAGGCTTCCATTGTGCTTACAGGTTCCTTTTTGGCCATCTTTCAGAAAAGCAACCTTCGTTCCTTCCCTGGAAAGACTGCCATGAACCACACAACCAACCGAAAGTACCAGGCTTTTTCGTGGGCTTACGCTAGCTTCACTAGTCAATCCCAGGTCCTCAGGGCTTTTCTGGTGACAACCAGAACCCATACATGCCTCCTTCAGGCGTGACATTCCAGTCAAAGTCTCAGTTAACAAAACCCACTATTAACGACTGGTCTTATTGGTTTTATGCAAAGAAACCTTATATTATCACTCACTCCTTCAGAATGCCAAATTCTGGAGGGATCAGGTAGGGAGAAAAATACAAAGCGTGAAGGAAAATCCTTTCCCTTCTGATATCCACTGGGCTTCTTAAAACCTTCATTTCTACAGACTTTCTGCAACATTCACAAACCCTTTATTTTATACAGCTTCTGATATCCACCAAGATTGTATCTTTATGCCTTATACCTTTCATTACTAACACACACCACATAAATTTTTTTTTCTAAAACTTTCACTTTTCCATTTATCTTTACAGTTTTCCACGGACCTTTTTAACATTTACAAACCTTTTATTCTTTCTTTTATACATTTTTTTTTCATTTACGTATCTTTCACTTTCTTATTTACTTTCCTATAGAGTGTGAAGTTTTAACCTTCCCTTGGAATTCTTAATTTCTTTTTTAGAGCAGATACAGAGCAAAATCTAAAACACAGAGTTTCCAGAACAGTACACAGGTAGGGGCATTCTCTTGCACAGAGACATGCTTCTTCAGGCCCGGTCTCATGGCAGAGACATGCTGCTTTGCCCACGGCTGAAGCACTTATCAGCCCCAAATGACCCTTCATGGGTCCCGAGTGGCAAAGGCATCCTCCCCAGCCAGTTACAGGCAACCTTTCCTAGGTCTTAAAGTACAGAAGGTTTCTGATTAGAAACAACACCAATGTTAGAAATCTTGCTCGTTTCCTACAAAACCAGAAAACAATTCAGGTTTCCTCTACTCCAGGTTTAAAACTTTCACATTCTTTACACATAATTTTTACACATCCAGATTTAACCATTAATCTTTTTAATCCTGGTTCCTTTCCCACACTGGGAAGGATTATACTTAAACTCAGTACTTAGACTCAGCATGTGGCACTCACCGATTCTGATTGGTGCCTCCGACAGTTCGTGGTTCCTCTCTCCCCCTCCGCCCGAGGAGTCTGGCAGGGGCTGGCGATACGGGGGAGGAGCGGAGGGAGCTAACAGCGGGTCTTCTGGTACTTCGGGCAGAACAGGATATAACTTCCTCCCTCCCCCGTTCCCCTGTCTCTGCTGAGGCCGGCACCCCTTCCCGATCTGGGAGTGAAGAGTCTGCCTGGGTGCCATTGCCACACAGAGAGCCCTTTTCTTTCCCCGCCCATTAGATTGGCACCGGCGGATATACCCCCGGACGCTCAGTGGCTATGTCTACCCACACATCTATGTAGACCATCTGATCTGGGTGGGGGGGTCGCATACACCACCCGCCGAACCGCGAACAGGAGGGGCAACTCAAAAGTCCCCTCCGTGGGCCACCCCACGTCGAAGGTCGGCCACTCAAGTTCACTGAAAGTTCGCAGGGTCTCTGGGTCGGGTGGAGGACCTCCGTAGCCCCGAGCGCGATTCTGAAAGTCAGAAAAGTTGTTTAGCAAACACTCCAGGGCCGTACTCGCGGTGGAGCCTCCTTGTCCCATCTTGGGCTGGTATGGGGCTTCTAGGATTAAAGCAGTAATTACAAAGACAAACCACGCAACAAAGACAAGACCAAAAAGGGTCTGAACACAGCAAGGGTCTCTCACTCCGGGCATGTGATTCTACTATCTCATAACCACTTAACTGACATTTCACTCTTTCCACTCACGCACATTCAGGCCGCGGCACACCTCAGTCTCTCCGCATACAGGCTTCGCTGGCGCGTTTAGTCGCGGCGCAAACCGAAATCAATTACCAAATGCGACCCTAGTCGCGGGAGCAAAAGCTCCGGTTCTCGAGAGCGTCCTCTCCTTGAGAACCCCGCGGGTGGACTACCGGCGACGTCTCGCCTACCACCTCGCGGCTCTAATGAGTCTAGACTCCCAAACCAAATTCCGCGGCAAGCTTACCCGGGTTTCACTTTCTCAGCCTCCGAAGACTCGCCTTCTATCTCGCTGGGGCCTCCAAAAATGTTGTATCCAAGTTGCGAGCGAAAGAAATCTCCGAAGACTGAGATCAGTTTGATGTCAACTTTATTGGCCAAGTTTAACCTGCGCAGGGGCGAACTTCCCAAATGAGACCGTAGTCTCGCGGCTACGCAGAGCCGCCAAAATGGAAGTCGCGCCTGGCTTACAGACTACTGGGGTTTTATAGAAGCTAGCAAGCAAGCGCTATACAGAAGCAGACGTGGCAGTTAGTAATTCACTTACAAAGACCGCGCGCGGGAATTTCAAACCAAGCATTCTTTCATAAGGTGGGAAGGCAGGATGTTTGTTCATTAACCTAGTAATCTCCTGGCTCCAGCTAGCTGGTTTTCTATTTTCTTATTAAAAACTACAAAGCACTGCTTATCTAGCCTAGCCAGGGGAGAGCGTCTGCTAGACACAGGATGTTTGCTTTGACTGTACTTTGTCTCTTTTATCATTTCTTTTAAGCTACAATGTGGTTCTTGTCTATTAAGGTTAAACTTAGTTCTTAATTTCCTTGTTCCCAACAGTGCCCTGACTGAAAATTGAACCTGTGACCTCCTGGTTTGCAGGCCAGCACTCAATCCACTGA